CCGAACCAAAGTATGACATGCTGGTAAGCAGTATGACTTATATCGCCCACAACTCACTTGTGTTCTACTCGTGCATATAACATCAACACATAAAACCTAGGCTCGGATACCACTGTTGGGGAACGTAGTAATTTCAAAAAAATTCCTACGCACACGCAAGATCATGGTGATGCCTAGCAACGAGAGGGGAGAGTGTTGTCTACGTACCCTCGTAGACCAAAGCGGAAGCGTTGACGCAACATAGAGGAAGTAGTCGTACGTCTTCCCGGTCCAACCGATCCAAGCACCGTTACTCCGGCACCTCCGAGTTCTTGACACACGTACAGCTCGATGACGCACCCCAAGCTCCGATCCAGCAAAGCTTTCGGGGAGGAGTTTCGTCAGCACGACGGCGTGGTGACGATCTTGATGTTTAACCGTCGCAGGGCTTCGCCTAAGAACCGCTACAATATGATCGAGGTGTAATATCGTGGAGGGGGGCACCGCACACGGCTAAGAAAACGATCGCGTGGATCAACTTGTGTGTCTATGGGGTGCCCCCTGCCCCCGTATATAAAGGAGCAAGGGGGAGGTCGGCCGGCCCTTGTGGGCGCGCCAAGGAGGAGTAGGATTCCTACTCCTAGTTGGAGTAGGTTTCCACCTTTCCTAGTCCAACTAGGAGAAGGGGGAAAGGGGGGAAGAGGGGAAGGAAGGGAGAGAGGGGCCGCGCCCCAAACCCCTTGTCCAATTCGGACTGGGCTTGGGAGGGGCGCGCGCCACCTCCTGCTCCTTTCCACTAAGGCCCATTAAGGCCCATTGCTTCTTCCTCGTATTCCCGTAACTCCCCGGTACCTCCGAAAATACCCGAATCACTTGGAATCTTTCCGATGTCCGAATATAGTCGTCCAATATATCGATCTTTATGTCTCGACCATTTCGAGACTCCTCGTCATGTCCCCGATCTCATCCGGGACTCCGAACTCCTTCGGTACATCAAAACTCATAAACTCATAATATAACTGTCATCGAAACCTTAATCGTGCGGACCCTACGGGTTCGAGAACAATGTAGACATGACCGAGACACGTCTCCGGTCAATAACCAATAGCGGAACCTGGATGCTCATATTGGCTCCCACATATTCTACGAAGATCTTTACCGGTCAGACCGCATAACAACATACGTTGTTCCCTTTGTCATTGGTATGTTACTTGCCCGAGATTCGATCGTCGGTATCTCAATGCCTAGTTCAATCTCGTTACCGGAAAGTCTCTTTACTCGTTTCGTAATACATCATCTCGCAACTAACTCATTAGTTGCAATGCTTGCAAGGCTTATGTGATGTGCATTACCGAGAGGGCCCAGAGATACCTCTCCGACAATCGGAGTGACAAATCCTAATCTCGAAATACGCCAACCCAACATGTACCTTTGGAGACACTTGTAGAGCTCCTTTATAATCACCCAGTTACGTTGTGACGTTTGGTAGCACACAAAGTGTTCCTCCGGCAAATGGGAGTTGCATCATCTCATAGTCATAGGAACATGTATAAGTCATGAAGAAAGCAATAGCAACATACTAAACGATCGGGTGCTAAGCTAATGGAATGGGTCATGTCAATCAGATCATTCACCTAATGATGTGATCCCATTAATCAAATAACAACTCTTTGTCCATGGTTAGGAAACATAACCATCTTTGATTAACGAGCTAGTCAAGTAGAGGCATACTAGTGATACTCTGTTTGTCTATGTATTCACACATGTATTATGTTTCCGGTTAATACAATTTTAGCATGAATAATAAACATTTATCATGATATAAGGAAATAAAATAATAACATTATTATTGCCTCTAGGGCATATTTCCTTCAGTCTCCCACTTGCACTAGAGTCAATAATCTAGTTCACATCGCCATGTGTTTCAACACTAATAGTTCACATCACCATGTGATTAACACCTATAGTTCACATTGTCATGTGACCTATACCCAAAGGGTTTACTAGAGTCAGTAATCTAGTTCACATTGTTTATGTGATTAACACCCAAAGAGTACTAAGGTGTGATCATGTTTTGCTTGTGAGATAATTTTAGTCAACGGGTCTGTCACTCTGTTTGTCTATGTATTCACACATGTATTATGTTTCCGGTTAATACAATTTTAGCATGAATAATAAACATTTATCATGATATAAGGAAATAAAATAATAACATTATTATTGCCTCTAGGGCATATTTCCTTCAGAAATGACTTGGTTCACGGGAAGAGTAATCCTCATATAGAAGCATTAAACAATTTTTTGTGTAGCTACTTCAATTCCCTATGTAATATAGGTTCTTGAGTATATAGCAGATTATCAGGCAAGGCTAATGTTGATAATACCTATAGTAGGAGAGACTCATCATGGCATCCACTAGATCAGTTGTGGTCACTCCCACTGACAAACCGGCGCTCCTAGTTGATAATTTTTCTCATCATTGACTTCCATAAGGCCTACGACACCGTCCACGGGTCCTTCCTTAGGGAAGTATTGATCCGCAAGGGATTTCATGATCGTTGGGTGACAAGGGTTGTGCAACTTGTCTCTAGTGGCCGCACGACCAAATATTAAAAGCGAGGTAGGGCCGTTCTACCCAAGTTTCTATGAGGTGAGATAGGGAGATCCCTTCTCTTTGTTCCTATTTAATATGGTCATGGATGCTCTTTCCGCGATCCTTAACAAGGCCAAGGCATCCGGTCACATTCAAGGAGTGGTTCCTCGCCTCGTGGTTGTAGGGCACTCTATGCTGGAATACGCGAACGACACCATCATAATGGTCAAAGGATCTGACGCGGATATTTTGAGCCTCAAATTTCCCATACTTTGCTTCCAACAGATGTTGGGATTAACCATCAACTTTCATAAAAGTGAGGTCATGGTCATGGCTATGATGAGACCATGCATCAAAGCATTGCCGACAGATTGAACTGTCGATTGGGGACCTCTTATCTAGGGACCCCATTAGTGATTCTAGACTCTCGGTGTCGGATCTTTGTTTGTCCGTCTCCAAGATTCAATATCGAGTTGAGCCTGGCAATGTAGGTGGCTCTCCAGATGGCATGGAAAATGCCCCTAAACTCGCCCCTGACTAGCCTTCTCATGTTCATTATGGGCTTCTACAGCCTCCATGAAACTCTTCATCATGAGATAGCCACTGTCCAATCAAAATTCTTCTAGGCATGCAAGGGTGATAAAAAAATACCATATGGTTAAATGGTCTCATTTGCAAATCTAATGACCGGCGAGGTCTAGGTATTGTGTCCTCCAAGTGGATAAACATTGATCTCCTGTCCAAGTGCCTTTGGCGCATAGCGAACAATGAGGGCGGGCTTTGGCTGGAGATTATCCGATCCAAGTACTTGCGGGGCCAAGCCTCTGGCGTTTTGTCAATGCTTCGGGGCCTCCCAATTCTGACAATCTATAATTCAACTCCTTTCGGTTCTCCGGATTGGTACTTCGATTTTTGTAGGGTCTAGCTCATCCACTCTATTTTGGATTGACCGTTCGATGGGCGATATGCCGTTTACTGTCCGCTTCTCGGAGATTTTCTCCATTTGCTCCGTACCCTATATCTCGATTGAGGCTGCCATTATTGATCTTGGGAGCCATGCTTTTCGTCATGCGTTTGGCATTGCTGAACAAGATGCTTGGAAGGGCCTCTTGGAGTGTGTGGCCCTTCACAACCCGAGTTCCGATCGGGACCAGGTCTCCTGGCACCTTCAATCCGGTCACTGGTTCTCCACTAGATCCCTCTACCATGCCATTGCTCCCTTGACTAGCCAAGAACCCTTGATTTTACTTTGGAAAATGAAACTCCCCTTGAAGATCCGGATTTTCATTCGGCGGTGGATTCATGGTCCAGTACCTTCAGGGGTAGAGGTACTCAAACGTCATGGACCGGATGATGGTTTGTGTCCTCTTTGTGATACGGCACCAGAGGACTGAAATCTATCTTATTCTGGTGTGTTTTAGCGTAATTCTTGTGGAGTTGCTTCAGGGAAGTGGTAGGTGGTGCCACACCAGCTTACCTGACCTCTTTGAGGAATTGATGACCTGCCGGTAGGGACGCGCCACATTATGTGGATTGGGATCGGGGCCCTTTCTTGGACCCTTTGGACGATTCATATAATTAGCTAGTTATCAAACGCTTTCCGTTGAGACGCCCGATCGATGTGATATATAAATTTTGTGGCTTTATACAAATTTGGAGGCCGCTTAGCAGCACCGCGGATCACGCAGTCATTGATGTTCTATTGGTTGGCTTCAGGACCTTGGCTCTTCGCTTGTCTTCGCCCCTTCCGTCGCCATCTCCAGAGCCAGATTAGCCGTGATTGCCGCTAACCCCTGTGCGTCATTTTGTGGTTTTTTGCTTGTTGAGTTGGGGCCCTCAACATGGATCTGTTCCTATGTTTCATTTGTACTCCGTGAGTTGTTTTCATTCTTTCTTTTGTTGGTACCCGTCGTGGTTCCATTTGTTAACTTTGGATGCTTATGCCCTATGGTGCTTTATTTATAAAATGAGGCGTAAAGCCTTTTTTAGTTGGTGCAGGTATGGTACTCACAAATGGTGCAGGAGAGTCATCATTGCCTCCTGTCAACTGTTGTTCTACTAAAACGAATACACTTGATTTTTTTTTTTTGAGAAAGAAATTACAAATGCAACGCTCACATACACACGAACACTCACCATTATGAACATACACACGCATACCCTATCCCTAGGAGCATCTCTGAAAGACTGAAGCGGCAAACCTTGAGATTGACAAAGTCACCTGATGCACTTTCCAATCGATGCGAACATCATCTCCCGCTGAACACACATCTCCGGAATGCCTAAAATAAAATTCAGAAAAATGTGAACACCCATGTCAAGTCTGAGAGACTTGAACTTTGATGGGCTGGTTCCACCAAAAAAATCTAACCATCTAAGTTTACACTCAATTTGCTATTTGTATGCATATCTTACAAACTCACACTCCCTACACATCCATCCCCACAGTGTTCTCACTAACCACAAGGACGCCGTCCGTCTCCTTTTTCGTGGTATCGTTGTCCCCCTCAGTGGGAGCCACAACCACTGACGTGTTGGGCTTGTACTCGTGCTGCCTCGCAATCACCACGAACACAACGAAGTTGACCACCCCAAGCACAGCCAGCATCCAGTAGAACAAGTCAAGCCTCCCCCTATCCAGGTTATTCCGTATCCATGCCCCTCTTGTCACGGTGTGGACAAGGAAAACGAGGAAGCTACTCAAGAAGAACCCCATGGACAACGTGACCAGAAAAAGGCCCGTGCTCATGGACTTCATCCTCTCCGGCGCCTCGCGGATGAAGAATTCGAGCTGCCCCACGTACGCGAACGCCTCGCCGGCGCCCACAATGAAGAACTGCGGCACCAGCCAGAACGCGCTGATGGCAACTTGCGACTCCCCGTTCGCCGCGTCGCGGCGCATCTTCTCGACTAGCGCGGCCACGACCATGGCCACGGTTGCGAAGACAAGGCCCGTTCCTACGCGCTGGAGCGAGGTGAGCCCCTGCGCGCGGCCGGTGAGGCGGGCGGCGAGCGGCACGAGGAAGCGCTCGTTGAGGGAGGTGAAGAGGAGGATGGAGAGGAAGAGGAAGACGGAGAGGGAACCGGCGGGGATTTCGAAGCCGGCATTGAGGCGACGGTCCATGCGGGTGGCTTGCTCCACGGAGAATGTGGTCATCTGGGAGTATATTGTCCAGAAGAGGATGCAGGTGGACCAGATAGGCATCAACTTCACCACCATCTTCACCTCCTCCACTTCCGTCATTGTTGAGGTTGATGCCTGCTCCTGCTTTTTCGGAGTTGCGGCCAGGTCGACTTGATCCATCACTGCAGCTTTGTCGAGGCACCTGCATGGGGATCACAAAAGTTAATCATGCACATTTTAAGCAAAAACATGGACAAATATCGTATATAATAGCAGTCTTGATAAATCTCGGTCGATTGAGACTTCGTTATGTCTCGGTCGATGATACATTGATAAGACAGTCTATCTTAAACCACCCCACATGATTTATTTTTTCTCTATTTTTGGATCTGGATCCATTTGAGTTTGGAGCAGAAGATCCATGTACCCGAGTTATCCTTTTTGTTAGCTTCCCTGGCAACTCCATCTCAACGTCGACACAGACATGACACGGGGACAAGTGGCGTGCTCGTACTAGCGGAAGAGTACACATCATAATTATAAGTCCTAGCTGTCCCGGACGAACGGTGCTAGTCCACAGTCCATGTTAACCATGGGAAATTATGTGGCTGATATCCAAAACACCATTTTGTTTATTTCGAATGAAATAAGATAAAATGATGATGGAAACAACGAACGATCGAGCAGTGATATTTGATATTATAATACGAACAGCTAGCCACATGCATATGATCCTACTCAGACAGCAAGTAGCACATCTTGTCAGCATCTTTAGGATGGAAATGGCCCATCCACCATTATTATTTTTGTGTGGTAGCGTTTACAATTTCGGTAACAGAAAAATTTGTATCTCATGCATGTATCCAAAATTTAGGTAATTTAAAAAGTGGATTTCAATCTATCAAAATCGACTTAACTTTAGTAAAAAATGGTCAAATTCAAATATTGTTTGAACGAACTTCATTAACATGCTTGAAAATAGCACGTAGTTACTCGTCGGCATCTAGTTAATGCAAATGGCCTCCAAAAAGAGTGATGTAAACATGGTTTTCACTCAGTGAGATTTCGATGAAATTCACTGAATTTCATTAATTTCAGCAGACATTGAAATATCTACCTTCTGGCCAAAATATTTCAGCAATTTTTCAGTAGTACACATGAATTCAAATATTTTTCAAATTATTTTTCAAAAAAATTCAAACATGTAATTGAATTCAGGTTAATATTTCAGCGTTTTGACCGAAATGCAAACCGAAATCACTGATATTCACTGAAATTCGGTGATTTCGGTTGGTGCTGAATTTTTCTTGAAATATAAATACTAATAATTACCTGAGCCTGTCAGTATGGGCCACCTTGGCCGTGTGGAATCCATTGAGCTCATCGGCATTGGCAGGGGTCGGCAGCTTGCGCTTCTTCCACGCCGTCCACAGCACCCTACCGATGACCGTGAGCGGGCTCCCCGCCGGCCGCCGGTACCTGTACTTGGACGTCCCCGCCACGAGCACGACGACGCCGAGGGCCATGGCGGCGGCCGACACGCCGTAGCCCCAGCCCCGTCCGACGTTGTCCTGCACGTACACCAGCACGGTGACCGCGAACAGGGACCCTAGGCTGATGCAGAAGTAGAAGCGGTTGAAGAAGAAGACCATGGCGCGCTCCTCCCGCGGGTTCCGGCCGTCGAACTGGTCCGACCCGAACCCCGACACGTTGGCCTTGAGCCCCCCCGCGCCGGCCGCGATGACGTACAGCGCCACGTACAGCAGCGTCAGCTGCCCGCCGCTCGCCGGCACGCACTCGTGCCCCTGCGCGCCCCGCGCGTCCACGCACGGCGGCGGCCTCATGCTCGGCACCACCGTGTCCACCGCCAGCAAGCTCACGCCCTGTGTTGGTCCATCGGTTAGCGACGCAATGCATGCAGAAGCACGGTACAAGTGGAAGTGGATGCGTGTGGTAGGTTAATTACTGCGGCGGCGATGGTGGCCGAGACGGCGATGGTGAGGTACCGGCCGAGCTTGGCGTCGGCGAGGAAGCCGCCGACGATGCCTAGGAGGTTGAGGGTGCCCATGAAATTGGTGACGATGGTGGCAGATTTGGCGTTGGAGAGGTGCAGCTCGCCGACGAGGTACGTCACCAGGTTCATGGATATGCCCATCACGCACACACGCTCCGCAAGCTCCGTCCCTGCACCAGCAAGTCCAGATTAACGCCATTGATGGCTTTACACGCGCCCTGAGCTCATTAATACAGCCTTCAAATTCAAGTGCGCCGGCTGAATGCGGCGCACATGACGGCGTACGTATACGTACCTAGGATAAGTCCGGCTCCGAGCCATCCCCCGGTCTTGGATTTGTCCACCGGGTTGCCGCGGAAGTCGACGGCATCATCGGCGTCGCTGTAGCCGCCATGGCCGCCGGCAGAAACCTGCATGTGTTTGCACAGAACCGTGAGCAACTCGCCATGCAATCTCATGCAGATAACTAATCATCCTCATGCAAGCATGTGCATGCCCACCCAGCTAATGTCTGGGCACTCACCATTGCCGGTGCTAGCTTGTGTACGTAGACAGGGAAGGAGGAGAGGAACGTTTGTGTTGTGAGGCAGACTGAGAGGATGAGCAAGAGATCGATGATTTAAGCTCTCGTGGTTGTGGTTGATGCTGAGTTTCGCTGGTTGCTTGTCTGGATTAACTTCCGTTTTCTGGCCAGGTAGCGCGAAAAAGAGAAAAAGTGGAGATGATCTAGCGGCAGTGAGCGGGCAGGGACTGGAGGATGTATGCTGGCCACGTCTTTGCCATCGGACGGACAAGTAAGATGATGACCTGGGCGGTTGCGTGGTTTGTGACTTTGTGGTGGGTGGCTCTGGCTTGGCCAACATTTTCCGTGTAAGCTTTCTCCGTGTGGATTATGGACTCCGTACTATAAGCATATTCCGTACCGGTCCACCCGTAGGTGTAACACAACATCAGTATTTTTGAATGATGTGAAGATTGCTCACCACGCCTGCCTGCCGCGCGGTAGGTGTAACATCAATATAATCCTAAACGTGCGGACCTATTACTTGAGTTTTATGCCCTGTTCGATAATCACCCACTCACGAAATCTGCGGAGCGAGGAAACTGCAACTCCACCATTTTGAACTACATCTCCGCCAACTCCGCTCCCGGAGGTGTGGAGCGGAGCGATACCGAACAACGCCTTACTCTCTGGCTCTCTGCCCCCCTCTAATTTCAGCCGGTGCAGGCCCCTGTCACTAATCCTACTGACCCATGTTAATAGATCCGTTAAATACATAACAAAGCCCCCATAGCTCTATCATTACTCGTGTAAGATTATCGACTCCGTGATAGCACTTTTCTTTTGTATTTTGTTTCTCGAAAAACTTGTAGCTAAACCTGGGTGTATTGCACCCTTGATGATTTGTGGCTTCGAATATGCATCAATATTTTAGAAATGCATGTGTTTATGGCCAATGAGCGGCTCACATTATGTCACACATACGGGATAACTTGCACGCAAGATAGGGCACTTAGAGTTCTCATTTTTATGTAAAAAGACTGTAATCCCCTTTTTAATAGTTTTGTAGCCATATCTCGCCATACTACAGTGGTAGTAGTGAAGACGTAGGGGTTAGCCGAGAGAGTTAAGTTGGACAAAAGAGGCATGATGGAGAGTTTGGCTTGGTGGCTTTGGAAGCACCAGAAATGGGTGCATCTTTGACAGGCAACACCCCTCCATCTCGTGCCTGGTGCAACAAATCTAAGACGACGCATGCCGATGGGCCAAGGCAGGGGCCTTCAGGTGAGATAGTTTGTTGCCCGAGAGATAGGCTTTTGTTATGGTGGGCAGAGCATCCCATGTCTCTGCTCCGGTCATTCACCTTTGTGCCATCGTCAATGAGCACGTGTAAGTGATGACCGTACGTCTGTACCATGTACACCCAACTCTTAGGGTGTGTTTGGTTCGAGAACGAAGTGGAACGGAATGTCATGGTTTCATTCCACTGGAATAGGTTGGTTCCGTCCTTGTGTTTGATAGGAGCAATTCACAGGAATGGAATGGTTACATTTCGGTGTTTAGTTTCTGAGATGGAATGGAATGAATTTGTTGATTGCACCACTCAAATTATTGACTTTGGCATCAAGTACAAACAGGATACATGTAATAAAAAATTGTCAAATAAATGCTAGTTATTCCGTCATACACATGTTAAGAATCTGTCAAAATACAAATATCTACATGTCAAAAATCTGTAAAAAATACAAGTATCTACATGTCCAAAAACTGTCAAAATACAAGTCATCCATCTACATGTTGAAAATCAAGCTTGCCGTGATTAGGAAAAGGTACCAAGGTGTTGTGATTAGGGATAATACAAGGCATCCACCCCTAAACGGTTCCCAAATCTTGTTGTGATAGCTACGAATGAAATCAATCATTGTCGTCGCCGCTTGCAGCTACTTGCCCAGTCGCCGGCCAGCGCCAGAAATTCGCCACCGAGGGGCTTGCGAGGTGCAGCCGCTCGTTGTATTCCAGCTTCAGCTAGCGGAGAACTGCAGCGATCCGGCGCGGAGCTTGGGCAAGGAGGCCGGAGGCCGGCGGAGCTCTGGTAGGCGATAGAGAGAGGCGTTGCCGGAGAGTGAGAGACGAGGAGACGCGGCGCCGGAGAAGGGGATAAGAAAGGGCGCAGAACGACAGGGAGTGGTGGCGCTGGGATTGGGTTCGGAGACGAGGGAGTCGTGGGGGAGGCAGGAGATGCGAGGCGTTCCGCGTGGTTCCTCCAAATCGAAGGTACGAGTGTGTTCCGCATCTCACGCGAATATTCCGTTTGAGGGAATGGATAGGTTCCAATTCTTCGCTGCTATCGAACACAGGAATCAGGCCTAGGAACGTAATGGACCCGTTACATTCCACCCCATGACCTGAAACAAACACACCCTTACTTTCCTATCAATGTAGTGATACTCAATCTTTGCACATTCGGGAAAAAATTATGGAGCTTGTCAACGAAACCATGGCGGAGGCACCTAGTGTACTTTCATTGTGAGCTGACGCCCATCAGCCAAAGATGTGACATATTTCTCGGAACAAGCTTTCACCCCCTTTATATATAAAGCAATCACCGAACCAAGTACACGGTCTAAACACCTAAGCTTCATGACTACGCCCCCAGGAGGGAAAACGGCCCAAAGCGTCGCCGCTGCCGAGTCCAGAAGGGACAAGGGTCTTCATCCGAAACCCTGGCACGAAGAGGACCACCACGACGACGTCTTCAAAAAGAAAGTGGCGTCCGCAAGCGTCGTCGTCGTCAGCGTCAAAGCGCAGAGCTTTCGCTCGGTGCCAAAGTTGTGCCATATTGGCTTAGAAAATACAAGAGTATGCAAGCAGACACTAATAAACCAAAAACTTAATCACTTAAACAAAAACCAAATTTAGTGTCATGACAAAACATCGTTTAGAGTAAGACATATATTCTTTTTGACAATCTAAATATATATAGTAAGAGCAACTCTAATGTTTCGTCCGCCCATGTCCGTTTGGGTTCGTGCGGACAAAAACGACTGCCCAACGCGCGGACCCATTTCCATTTTGCGTCCGCTTTGTGTCCGCGCGGACCCATTTCGGTCTCAAATTTGGGTTGCATTTGGGTCCGCGGCGGACCCAAAGCGGACGCTTTGTGCGTGCTCCTCGTCCGCTCCGTCCACTGCATGCGAGGTATGGCCTACCTGTCACAGGCTCACTTCTCTGTCCTCCTTTTTTCTGTACTGGCCCACCACCCACGCACCACATCTC